TCAGTGCTGGGTCACTGCCCAGCAAAGAAGTTCTTCCTCCTGTCCAGTTGGAACTTCCTGGGCATCAGTTCCTGCCCGTTCCTCTTGTGCCATTGCTGGGCCCCCCCGAGCAGAGCCTGGTCCATCCTCTGCCCCCTCCCTGCAGCCCCTCCAGACCTGGGGGAGGTCCCCTCTCAGGGTCTGCTCTGGAGGTTGAACAGCCCCAGCTCCCTCAGCCTTTCCTGCTCCCAGAGATGCTCCATCCCTTCGGCATCTCCACAGGAGAATCATCTTCCAGCAGCTCCCTGTCCCTGCTGTCCCTGAGCCTGAGCTGGACCCAGCCCTGCAGATGTGCCTCCCAGGGCTGGGCAGAGGGGCAGGATCCCCTCCTTGGCCTGCTGGGGACGCCCTTCCCGATGCCCCGCAGGGCGCCGCTGTCGCGATACCCTCACGCCCGTGGGTCGGTCACGCCCTGTCCCCCCGCGCTATCCCCGCGCTATGCCCGCGACAGACGCACCCCATCGCGATAGACCTTCCCGGCCCGCTTCACCCTCACGTCCAGCGCCGTCCCCATCGCCCCGGTCACGTGACAGCCCCGCTCGCGCACGTGACCGGGCGGGCCCCCCTCCCTCCTCCCCCCCCCAACATCCGGGTCCCCGGCTCGTCACTTCCCAGACGCTGACGCCGCTTCCCGCCCGGCCCCGCCCACCGCGCGGTTGTCATGGCAACGCGAGGGAGGGGCCGGGTGACGCTCCCGTCCTCCTTGTGGAACTACAGCTCCCGGCGTGCTTTGCGCACCGGTGCGGGAGCCTTGCGTGCTTCGCGCGTCGCGGGAGCTGACGGGAGCTGTAGTCCGCGTGCCGCCGTGGCGGCCGTGGCAGCGCCTGAGCCCACGGTCGGACAATGGAATCCCGGGAAAGGCTTCGCTGCCCTTAAATTTATCCCCCTGACTACACTATACAGTCTCAAGAACCCATATATGCCAGTAGTGAACTTATCCCTGCTCTAATTACACACGTGATTCATCACATTGAATTTCCAGGCACGCCCCCGGCCTCTGCCCTCAGAGTTCCCTGGAGCTTGTCCCGATAAATTTAGGAAGGCAATTAAATGCCTTGCGAAATACGCAGGGAGGGAATTCGCATTAAAAACCCGAAGCACAGAAAGGCCCGGCGTGGAAATGCGCGTGGTGCAGTTTGAGCGCTGAGAAACCCTTCAATCCCTCCCAGGTGTGGCCACAGACGGGGATTCCCGTGATTCCAGCGGAAACAGAACTTCTCCATCGGCGGAATCCCAACTCCCGGAGTAAACACCTAAAGCAGGAGCCGAGCTGTGAATTTTAGTACTTTCCCAAGCCATTATTCTCACCTAATTCTTCGCACATCACTCTCTAAACAGCCAGGGCAGCCTCCACTGCGGTGTTACAGCACAAGCTCCAGTGTCCAGTGCCATTTTAAAATGGGAATTCTTTAATTCGCTCTTAAACCGTGACTTGGGGAGGGAGCAGGGATGGTGACAGATTCCTGCTCTTTCTTTTGCCTTTTTTTTTTTCCTTTTTTTGCCTTTTATTTTTTTTTTTCATTAGCAATCAAAGTAACTGAAATCCTGAACAAATCAGAGTATGTGCAGCTCAGGGAAAGCCGGTTCTGCTGCAAGGAATGTGCCTAAAGGGCACAGCTGAAGGGGCACGACAAGTTTAGGTTGCCCAAAAAAGTTGTGGATGCCCCTGGAAGTGTCCAAGGCCAGGTTGGACAGGGCTTGGAGCAACCTGGGATAGTGGAAGGGGGTGGCACTGAATGATCTTTAATGTCTTTTCCAACCCAAACCATGTTGGGGGTGTCTGGGATTCTCTTTTCCAAGACGACATTAGATGGTTCAAACAGACACCCAAGGAACTGTTCCCATTATAGATTTCTTAATCTGATTGCCAGAGCTTGTTTTCTTGACCAGAGCTTGAAGACTTGTCTCCTGGCAATTTTATTCCTGTTCTCCATGAAAACAGGGAATGCAAAACCATTTAGAAATTAGGGAATTAATAAACCTTTCCCAGACTCCGAAGTTCTACATATTTAGTTTTATTATCTAGGATAAATCACTGCAGTTTTTTAACCTTGGTGTTTAGAGGTAGCAAACTAAATGTACATTTTCTTAAGCTTCACAAAGTTAAAATAAATAAAAAATTTAAAATAAATAAAAAACGGAGTCCCTGCCAGTGGTGGGAGTACCTGGAAGAAGGTTCTGTCCTATTCCTCCTCTTCCCTTCAGTACTGAAACCCATCTGTGCTCCCTTTATCCTGGAATGCTTATGGAAAACCCAGCAAAACCCAGTGCACGTTCCTGTAATGAGGAGCATCTTTTGTTTTGGGAAAAGAAGTGAGATATCAAAGTCATCTCACAATTCAGAGAAAAGAGGGAAAGTGGTCAGTGTAAAGAGAAAGGAGCATTTAACTTTGATTACTTATATTAGCCACTTACCTCATGTAGCTAATTACTGTTATTAGTTAATGTGGGGCATGTAAAAGAGGGATTTTTATGTTTTATTTTTTACCCCAACCAAGGAGAGCTCCAAAAAAAAGCAAAACACAAGCCTGGACAGTACAGTTGCTTCTGAGCATGTTGATTTTTTTTTTTTGCCATCACTTTCACAATCCACTGTTTTTCTTGGAAAACTTTTTCCAAGGTACTTCAGTTACTCATTTCTAGGAACTGGAGCCTCATGTCCAGAAAAAGCTCCCGTTGGAACAGGCTGTAGCTGCCCCTCTGCTTAGCAACAGACATCCCACAAACAAACCCTCGGGATCTCAACGAATCCGTGTCCAAATTCAGGCTCTGCACTGACAGTTCAGCACCCTCAGGGTGGTTGGTTTTGCAGAAACAATCCCAGAATGGTTTGGGTTGGAAGGGACCTCAAAGATCACCCAGTGCCACCCCCTGCCATGGGCAGGGACACCTTCCACCAGCCCAGGTTGCTCCAAGCCCCGTCCAACCTGGCCTTGGACACTTCCAGGGATCCAGGGGCAGCTTCCCCAGGAATTCTATCCCAGCCTCTCACCATCCTCACAATTGGGAACAATTTCTTCCCAATATCTAAATCTGCCCTCTTTCCACTCAAAACCATTCCCTCTTGTCCTGTCACTCCAGGCCCTTATGAAAATTCCCTCTCCAGTAGCAGGATTTTCTTTTGGTTGATCCAAGTTACAAATTTTCTTTACAGAGTATCCACCTCACACTGAATTATTTGGGAAGGCTTCATCAAAATGAGACAGTTCAAACCTCAGAGCAAAGGCTGGAATGTTTGGCACCGAGCCCTGTCATTGTCAGGAGCCTGCTGTGTCCGTCCACTCGAAAAATCCACCCCAAATTTGGACAAATGGTGAGACTGACAATTTTAGGCTTTGTTTGGGAATGGGAATTCCTTCAGGAAATCACAACTAAAGGGGAAATGGGCTTCTCAGTGGAATATTGGTGCCCACAACCTGTTTTTTAAACATAGTTTTATTTACTCCACCTGCAGAGCTGCTCCAGCCCTGGGGAACAGCCCAGCAAGGACATGGAGCTGCTGGAGAGAGGCCAGAGCAGGAACCAAGAGGATCCCAGGGCTGGAGCAGCTCTGCTGGGAGGAAAGGCTGGGAGAGCTGGGATTGTTCAGCCTGGAGAAGAGAAGCTTTGGGGTGACCTGATTGTGGCCTTGCAGGACTTGAAGGAGCTCCAAGAAAGATGAAAAGAGACTATTTCCAAGGGCTGGAGGGACAGGACAAGGGGGAATGGCTTCCAACTGATAGGGAGCAGGGTTAGATGGGAGATTGTTGTTTTCAAGCTTTGCTGAGCCTGAACCAGAACTGAATAAAACAACTCTAAGAACAAAAGAACCTAAACTGAAACCAACTGGAAAAATTATATGAACTTCAGTGGAATGATGCACACATTTGTTTTATGGATGTACCTGATCATCAGAGAATCATGGAACGATTTGGGTTGGAAGGGACATTAAAGATCATCCAGTTCCACCCCCTGCCATGGGCAGGGACACCTTCCACCTTCCTACCTGATCTTCTTTGTTACCTTATTTTAACAAATGTATTTAAATTGCTTAGAATAATCAGATTGCTGTATTTGCCTCAAGCCAGAGCTGCAATATATGGATTTGTTGATATGGAATGACAGCATTCCTCACTTGGGATACACAAAGGGAAGCTGAAAGAGACTTTTTGTCCTGCTTTTTTCACAGTTTTGAAATCTTTGCTCAGGGAGAACAACGGTGTAGAATCACAGAATCAGGGAATGGTTTCAGTTGGAAGGGACCTGACTTAAGGAATTCAAAAGGAGAAGTTTTAGAAAGTGATGACAAAAAATGTGATTTCTGTGCTTGCCATCAGAACCATGTGGAGCACACAGTGTTGGGAAGAGTTTAGAGATGATTAAGTCTAATCAAACAATAATTTCCAATATTATTCCTATGTTGGACAATTTTTCGATCACTTCATGGTTTATGTAAGCACATTTGATGAACTGAACATTGTTTTTCAGAGCACCTGAGTGGAAAGGCTGTGCTTTACTCCTAAGTTACACCGAGGAGTTAATAGAAGAAATAACTGATACACTGAACTACAGGAAGTAAATTAAAATTCATTATCTCTGGTGGAGAAATCCCAGCAAATCCCAGCACTGGAGCACATAAATAGTGGTGCTTCTGAATGCCTCAGAAAGGAGGAAGATAATAATAAAGAAATTAAAATACCTGCCCTATACAGAGGGACTGCACCAGACATTAAATCTGATTTATCAGTGTTCTCTAAAACATCCCCCACCACACTAGAATTCCTTTTTCATTAAAAATTATCCTTTAAAGTGTATCAGATTTAAAAGAACTAATGACAAAAGACCACTGAAGGCAACAAAATAAACTGATTTGTTCCCATATCAAGGTGAGAAAAGCTAATTGAGATGAAACTAAGCTGAGGAAAAGTCCAGACAGAAGGTCTAAAAAGTCAGATTTTGTGTCATGTTAAAACTGAGAGAGGTACAGTAAAAGTAAATAACACCATAGAGCATAATATTGATCAAGGAATTTCAAAGGTAATTAAGAATGAACTAATATTCCAGCAAAAATGCACCATTTTTAAGTTTATAGTTTAAAAGGGCTTGAACTGACTGAAAGTTGCACTGAGCTTTACTTGCCTCTCAAAAGAATTAGCAAATAAGGAAAATAGTGTTATGAAACATGTAGGGGATGACAAAAACCAGTGGGTAAAACAAAACAAGTGATTTAGACATTCCAAAAAAAAAAAAATACTGGAAGAGTTTGGTGGGGAAAGAAAATAGTGACTGAATATCCTGAATCAAAAGTACTTAGATATCAGAAAAAAAAAAAAAAAAAAGAAAGAAAGAGTAATTTTTCCCAGTGCAAAAGGTTGTTTCTGGGTGTTGTGATATTCTAAAGGAAGATGTGCAGGTTGATATATTTGCAAATATTGTGGAAGAAAAGAAACTTGTAACAAAATGGTCAATTTTTCAGCCTTGTGTGTGAGAAGTGATGGATATGAAGGAGCTGGTTGGGAAGTTGCCAGATAACTATGGTGGGATGCAGGTATGGAGAATAAAACCAGCTCAGAGCTGGAAA